CCCCCCCCCGCTCTCGATTGGAGGAGCACTCCATATCTGCCTGCAACTTCGAAAATCAACCGTGTGCCTACAAAAGAACAAACCAACCCACACTTGTCGACAGCTTCCCTCTAAACAGGTGAATCAGTTCCCAAAGGTGCAGCACTGCAACCCAGCAAACTAACCGACGCTTTGCAGTGTGTGCCCCTGAGGATTTTCTCTTTTAAAGAACAGACTTGCACTCATGTTCATCACAAAAAGGCCCCTTCTTTTCCCAAAAATCACCCAGTCACAGTTAAAGCCTGCCATATACCAACCCGAGGAAAGTAGATTAGACACAGAAGCACAGGGAGACAGGAAGGGGCCTTCTCCACAAGGGAGAGAGAGCACTGCATTGATCGCACCACACAAGCTACTGAGAAAGGAAAAGAGGGCGCTGTAATATACTGAATATGTAAATAATGTGACTGTACAATGCTTTATAGAAGACAGAGCAAACACTACCTTAAAATCCCCCTTGAGGCACATTTATGGTCCAAAGTTCAAAGAAAGATCAGAGTCTCTCAACTTCATCTGCTTCTTAAAAAAAAAAAAAAAAGGTTTCAGCGACAAATCATGGTGGAACTGGGAGACTGTGAGAGCAATACCCAGGGATCAAAGTAGCATCAAGCTTTAGAGACTCAGTTTTTAATTTGATTTATTGGTGCTCAGCGAATCAAAACACAGTAACAACAAAGAATGTCAGAAGAGCGAATGCCTAAAGGGCTCCAGTGTTATTTTACATCCCTGTGTAAGGTATCATTTTCTAGTTTTCTGATGGATGAATGCCAGAATATAGAGCTTGACTTGTTAATGTCTTATTTTATTTTTTAATCATATGTGATGTATCTTGAACTTCTAGTTTTTATTTTTCACCTTAACTGCCAGTATGTGTATGATGCTGAGAGAAGTCTGCCTTTTTTGAGTTTTAACTTCCCTCAGCAGTGAAAATCCTATTTAAAAAAATAAAAAATAAAAGCAGCTGTATGAAAGTCACTGAGTAAAGTTGTGTTTTGAAAAACAAAAACACATCCGTACACCTTGTGCTTCTGTTTCCGATGCTCTCGACTGTTGCGGCATAGCTTAAGCTGTGATGGAGCTCAATATTATGCTTTAATACGGAACCCGAGGCAGGGTGACCTTGAAAAGAGAAGAGCTAAAACTTTCTTTTAGACAGAGGATAACCTGAGGGGCTGCTTCAGGGGTCTCAAACCTGTGATTCTAGAGCCACATGTGATAGTTTTGCCCTACATCTACAGTGGCTTTGCCATTGGACTGTTTTTAAAGCTGTTAAACTGCTGTATGTTTCAGTTATTGTCAAAGTAGGCTGCTTTTAATGTAATTAAAAGCAGCCTACTCCCAGAGACCATTTGCAGTATGGTAAATGGATTGGTGCTTATATATAATGTACTAACAAGTGAACGCAGTGGAAGTAGTACTTTAAAGGAGCTCATGAATGAATAAAAGAGAGGATAGATGGAAGGAGGTTAGTGAATCAGAAAGTGCAGATGATTAGTGAGGATGAAGGGAGGGCACCTACGAAGAGTGGAAGATGGTCCAGATGACATACCTGTGGAGGTAATGAAGATGTGTAGAGGGCAGTGGACTTTTTGATCAGTGAATTATGTGAGGCCTGCTATAATGTCTAGTTTGGAGACAATGACACTGGAAAAAAGGAGGTGGAGGTAACAGAGCTGAAGATGTAAAGGTTTTCATTGAAATGACCAGGAGGGACCGGAGTAGAAATGAGAAGACGTGGGAGAGGTTATAATCGACAAGGGAGCTACCAGGCATGAGGAAAAGAGGAAGGAATAATACAAATAAAGGGACACTTTTGTCTGTGCTTTCCAACATTCGCAACTGAGGTTTAGTATCTTATCCATGGATACTTTGGCATGCAGACTGGAGTAGCCTGAGATCAATCCATGATCTCCTGATTGGAAGACAACCTGCTTTATCACATGAACATTCACCTGTAGCTAGTCTACTTCAAAGTAATCTTAAACATGATAATCTCTTTCAATTCTCCTGTTTGTAAGAAAAATAAGTTTGGTGGGTTTTTTTGTTTGTTTGTTTGTTTTAATATAATGTGATAAATGAAACAAAAAATATAGTTTTGCATTGAAACTGTAACTGCAGCCCACTACAAAATAGTCACTTGTGTTAAAATCTTTTAGTATTTTATACCTGTAAGAAACACTGATGCCTAACAGGCTGTGTCACCTTTATTAGAGAGTTCCAATATAGTTTGTGGCTCCATTCAGAATTATTTATTTTTGCAAAAACAACTCAGAAATTTATATTTGGGCCTCGAGTATTAAAAACATGGGTTATTATGGCTAAACTACCTAAAGTGTGTGGAGCTGGGAATGACCGCAGTAGGTTCACTCTACAGTTTAATGACAGCAGCCACTACAAGCAAATATATCACTGAAAAAAGCAGAACTACAGCGCAGCGCACTGGGTTATGCAGAGGTGTGCTTTATTGCTTATGAATGTAACAAGATGATGAGACTATGAAGTTACACGGTCTGCCTTTGAGGTGAAAAAAAAACTAACAGAAGCACTGAAAAAAAGTTCAACATTTTGGAAAAAATAAACTTATTTGCTTTTCCGATGAGTGAAGGCCAAAACAGGAAAACCCAAAACCCGTTTGCCTGGATTTGTTTGAAAAGTGGAGGACAGACATTACACAAAGTCTTTGAAGACCCGTTTTCAGACTCTCTGCCTCGGATATTACAGCAAATAAACTTATTTTTGTCAGTGTTGAACTCCTTCAAAGGTGAAGTTTTTTTTCAATATAAAGCCCTTACTATGCATTTCTTACAGGTCCAGCAGTCCCATGCATCGATCACTAACTCAGAGGTCATATCGACTGTAAAGTGCACATTAAATGAGTCACACAAACATAATTAAATAACAGCTACATGAACATAATTTACTCTCAGGAAAGCCCTTTGAACTGTACAGTATAATGAGACGATACACAGGACGACCAGCAACTTAGAACAGAAACCAGACCGCAGTCAGTATTTAAACTCAGTTTGAAGCCCTCCAAAGGCCAGCCTTAGGCTTAAATGAATCTTTGACATCTTGAGAAATTTTGCTTATTCACTTTCACTTAACAATTTATGTCTTTTTTTAAAGAAAACTTTTGTTAATAATCGAGCAGATTCAGAGGTGCTGGTACTTTTCCCTCATTTCTGGTCTTTTTGCTGCCGTGCAGAGCTTCAGAGCTGTGTGGTACTGAGTGAATAAGCAAGTTTCCTTTGATGGCTACATATTAAAAGGACTCATGTCTACATATTAAACACTACATAACCATAAATCTCTGTCTGACTTCACTTGAAACCCATTAGACACACGTGAAACGCAGCATTTAAATCATTGAAATCTCTGTCTCTGAAATGTTTTGTGCTACAGTCAGTCTGACCAGGTGAAGGTGTTCGCAGCACGCTCTCCATATTTGTCTAAAGTCTCAGCAGGCGTAAGGTGGAGGTTTCTCAAAGGCGCTGTAGGAGGATGCATAGAGGACCGGAGCGTTGGGGGTCAGCATGTAGCCTCCTGGGTCCTGGGTGGCTCCCTGAGGCTGTGGCTGGGGGAGAACCTGAGAGGGCAGCTGGCTCTGGTTCTCCTCAGACGGGCAGGAGGAGGGGGAGGAGACAGGGCCTCCCCCAGGAGGGAGCATCTGGGGAGTAGCAGGTGCCTGGTGGTTGGTGTTATGCTGTGGGAGAGGAGGAGAAACAGGAAGTGGTTGGCTGCAAAGGCATGTGGAAGTTCAGCCAAAGAGATATCAAATATCAGCAAAGATCAGCCCAGAGCCATCGATCAGATGGACAGAAATACGTAACCAGTTTGCACTGGTTACGTATCATCTGCAGATTTAAGCTAATCGCCTGGTTTAGGAAGATGGAATACTTGTGGCACCTTTTCATGAAGTTTTTAAGCTTTAATGTGAAACAAGCCCAGCTGAGGAGTCCGCAGCCAACCAGGAGCCAGCTGCGACTCTGTTATGAGCTACAGCTGTGCTTTCAGCTCATGTGTAACAGGCATTAGTTCACTTCTATCACCAGCTGTTTTGATACTAGAGTGCTAGTAGGCAGGAATGTACACTCAGTAGCGAGTGCATCTCCCTGTGTTTCACTCTTAGTTTTGGCCTCAGCTCCTACCTGCATGGATACTGGGTAGTTGGGGTAGGCGGGCAGAGCCTGCCCAGACGGACAGAAGTTGGGGTAGGTTAGCATGTGCTGGGTCGGGTTGTACAGGATGTGAGGTGCTGGCGTTGGGCTGGGAGTGATCTGAGGAGCGGGCTTCTGCTGGAGGAAAGGGTAAAACATGCTTTAGGTAAAGAGATCACTAAAAACAAGCTGCTGTTAACATAACAGGTTAACACACATTTGCACAGATGCAGGAACACATCAGGAAGTTTAAACTGCTCAAAGTTGCTGCGTTTATTTAACCAAATAAGCATGTAGCCAATTATAGCATGTGACTGCTTCTAAACTCTCTGCCTTCAAAGTTTTGGGTTTCTGTTTTGTTGGGAAGGAGTGGGGGTAGAGTGAGTTAAATCCTCTTGGACTCCTCACCACGATATCCTTGTACGCTCCGAGGATGGCGGCGGTGATGATGCCCAGGAACAAGCCGATCACGTTGAGCACCACCGAGGTCCACATCAGGCGGTACAGCTGGACCACATCCCAGCAGCTGCTGACCCCGGTGAAATCGTAGTAGTGTGAGGAGTACCGGCTGGAAGATAAGGACAAGTTGTGACATGGCAGGAAAATCGCAGGTGTAACTTATTTAAGTTCTGCTTTATGGCTCCTATTGTAGTTTCCATTTCACATCCCAGACTGTTTTATCCCAAACCTTCCAGGATGGCAAGAAAACAAAGAGTCTCCTACACCATACATC